GAAAAACAAAAAAAAAAAAGAGAGAGAGAGAAGAGAGAGAGAGAGAGAGAGAGAGAGAGAGAGAGAGAGAGAGAGAGAGAGAATGAGAAGACAGATTTAAAAAAATGAGAGTCTTCATAGGGAGTTCCAGGACAGCCAGAGCTACACAGTGGGGGGGGGGCACTTCTAGGAAAATAATTCAACAGGAAAAACGCTTTCTGCACAAGTATAAGGACTGGGGTCCCTTTTCCAGTGCCCACATAAAAAGCCGGCTGTGGCAGCTCCTGCCTGTAACCCCAGCACTGTGGGGTGGGGACGGACAGACCCTAGGGGCCGTCTGGCCAGCCAGCCCAGCCCAAACAGCAAGCTGCACGCTCAGTGAGCGACCCTGGCTCAAAGAATAACAAGGAGCAGCAACTGAGGAGGACGCGGGAACCAGCAGAGGAAGTGGGCATGCACACAGAAAGGAGGAAGGAAGGCAAGAAGAAAGGAGCAAGAGAAAAAGAGTGAAAGAGATAGAAAAAGAGAGACTGAGCGGCCAAGAGAGACGGCCTTGGGAGGAAAGAAGAGGAGCTGGGGCGGAGGGGACGCTTGAGAAACCAAAAGGGAGACTGAGGCGACAGCACGTAGGGCGGAGCTCAGGAGAGGCTGGGAGGGTGGTACCCTGGCCTGGGCCCGCATCATCCTCCTCTGCCCGCCAGGCCCAGCAACTGCAACAGGAGCTCCACTACGCCTCTCTGCAAAAGCTGCCGGCGTCCAGCAATGAGCTCGCGGACGGAGAAAGAGAAGAGGAAAACACGGAGGACCCCAGCACCGACTATGCCTGCATTGCTAAGAAAAAACCCACTTGAGCAACCCCAAACGCCCCGCCCGCCCAGGGTGGGTGCTCCAAGTCATCCTGTGTTCATCTAGTAAAAACTATGTCTCCCCGCTTCCGCGTGCCAGGCTTCTCCGTGTGTCCACAGAGCCGTCCAAACTTAAATGGCTCACCCTCCCACCCACTGAGGGTCGGTAGTGACTGAAGGGTGAGGAAGGGCGCTTAGAAAGCCCAGCTCCTTCCAAAGGCAAGAGGCAGCCTGTGGTCCGGACCAGACGAACCAGCCTGATAACCTCCACTTAGCGGCAGCCTCGCTTATAGAAGTGGGTGTGCGGTGGGCGTGAGTGCTCTGGGAGTTACAGCCAGCAAGTCTGGTCTTTGAACCTTTCCGGGTCAGTCCAGGTAGAATGGAGAGCCAACAGCCGGGGAACTGGAGAGAGGCGTATTGGGGTGTCTGGAGAAGGGAAAAGAAAAGACACGCGAGTTCTAAGTATGAGTGGTGGGTGAAGGATTCATTGCGGTCTCTTGAGGGCCGGAGAAAAATTGGGGTTTAGAATCACTTCTCAGAGGCTGTCCGAGGAGTGGCTGTGTGTTCCCATGAGACGGGGGCCTGGGGGGGAAGAACAGGGGCTGTTCAGAGCTGCAGCCCTGAAGCCTTCTTGCTGTCTGTCCCTCTGTCTCCTCCACTCTTGTCCCTGGCTCGCCGACTCGCATTTGCCCTGGTAATAGAGGGTGCTGCCCGTGGCCACAGAGAGGAAGCTGACTGCGTAGAATCCAGCCCGAAGGAAGAGGGCTGTGTGGGTCTCTTGTGTTGTGCCGGCCTCTTGCTGAGGAGGTCCTGTACCAGGAGGATGGAGAGGAGGAGAGTGCTCAGGAACTCAGGGCAGGGGACAGTTCCTGACTTCCCAGGGCCTTCCGGTGCCTCACCTTTCTCCACCAGCAGCTTAGTCCCGTTCCCCGTCCCGATGCCCGTGCCCAGCACCTCCACCCTGCACACATAGACGCCAGCATCATGACCTCGGGTGTCCTGGATGAGCAGCTCAGCCTTGTGATCCCTGATGAATCGGGGAGCAACAGCAAAGGAGGCCACACGGCCCCTGAACTCTGGGGTCACGTTGCTCACCTCCATCCGTGGGGCCACCTTGTCTCGGTACCATGTGACGGAGCCAATGGCCTCTGTCCCTTGGCTGGCATTGAAAGAACAGGGCAGGACAGCAAGGGTGCCCTCCTGGGCGTGAATCTCAGGGGGCTGATACACCCAGAGAGCACAGGATCCTGGGGAAAGAGAGAAGACCAGAGAAAAGCATTTGGAGAACACCCAGGTTCGCCTTCCTCACAGGACACATTATGACAGGCACATTGGAGTATCTCATTTCCTCTTTACCAGTTTAATTTCTCAACATTGCTCTAAATCAGTTTTCAAACTCTCACACAGCAGTTCTCGCTCTCATCCTCTCCCTTCTCCAGCCACCTTCACTAGAAACTCATCTTGCTGAACCTGATCCATTGTGAATGGACATAGCGGCCTAGTTAAGCAATCTTGATATTGTATTACTCTAGGTATTATTATTCTTCAGTGAAATGTCTTTCTTTTGCTTTTTTTTTCCCCCTCTGTATTGGGGATCAAACACAGGGCCTCACACATGGAAGCAAATACTGTATCAGTGAGCTACCCCTACCAAGTTCAAGCATTATTTTAGTAATGGTGACGTTCTTTTTTTTATGTGTATCAGTGTTATGCCTACATGTGTCTAAGTGAACCTGTGCCGTGCAGTGTCCACAGACATAAGAAGAGGACGTCAGATCCCCTGGAACTGGAGTTACAGATGATTGTTAGTGCCATGTGGGTGCTGGGATTCAAACCCGGGTCCTCTGAAAGAACAGCCAGTGCTCTTAACTGCTGAGCCATCTCTTAAGCACCCAGTAGTGACATTCTGTAGTAAACTGTCATTACTATTAGGATTATTTTTCCCCACCAATTTTTTTTTTTGAGATAGGATTTCCTATATCCCAGGTTGGCCTTGAACTTACGACCTTGAACTCCTGATCCTCCTATCTCTACACCGAGTTCTGGGATTACACTGTTTATGCGTTGCCTGGAATCAAACCCAGCTCTTTGGTGGTGCGAGGCAAGCATTCTCCTGAGTTGCACCCTAGTCTTTTTGTTTTGTTTGGTCTTTTTGAGACAGTTTCTCCCTATAGCCCCAGCAGGCCTCAAACTGGCTATGTAGACCAGGCTGTCCTTGAAATCAGAGATCCGCCTGCGTCTTCCTCCAGAGTGCTAGGATTAAAGGTGTGTACCACCCCACCACACCAAGCTAGGTATCCTGGGCT